ATCCTAGCCTCCAAGGAAAAACTTGGTTTCACCCTCTCTAAGACAGACATTTGTTTTCTTGACAGTCTCTGGTATGTTTAAGAGTCTTCTCCAGCACCACAACTTGAAGGTGTCTGTTCTTCTGTCACCCTTGTCCAGCTCTCTGAAGCATAATAAGTAATTGAGAAGATCATAACCTGGATTTCACACCTTTGTCTCTAGACTGACATGGTTGCTTTTCAGAACTCTGGAGAGGTCTGTGACAGCAGATTTTCCCAAGGCAATTAATCTTTTGATTTCCTGAGTACTGGTGTTAAAGAGTGTTGATCATGGATCCAAGCATTCTTAATTGTTAACAACCTCAATCTTTTCCTTTTTTATTTTTTTTAATTTATTTTGTGTGTGTATTGTCAAATCAGATGACTGATACAGGAAGAGATTGTCCCTCCTTCTCCAGCAAAGCATCTGGTGGATTCAAACCATGCACCTCTGGGACTGCAGTGCAGCCTCTTGCCACTAGGCCACCAGAGCTCACCAACAGCCTCAATTTAGTCTTCATTCATCATAATGCTGCCAATTGGCCCAGTGGTGAGAATCTTTGTTTTCTTGATGTTAAGCTTCAATCCATATTGAAGACTACAGTCCTTGACCTTCTGCACAAGAGCTTCAGATATTCTTGAGTTTTAGCAAGTAAGATTGTGTCATCTGCATATTGTAGGTTGTTGATGAGTCTTCCTACAATCCTGATGCCAGACGACTCCTCATACAGCCCTGCATCCCAAATGATCTCTTCTGCATACAGGTTGAAAATTTACGGGGACAGGATACTTCTTTGATGCACTCCTTTCATGATTTTGAACTATGCAGTGTTTCCTTGCTCTGTTCTGAGGACTGCTTCTTGGTCCAAGTATAGTAATAAGTCCAGCGTAGAGCTGTAGAAACTAAGGTTCAGAGTAATTATGTCACCAAACTGGGGTCAAACAGCTTCCTCTGCTGAAATTCGGGAATATATTCCTCCAAAACTTGTTCCCTTCTTGTTCTGTCATAACACTTTCTTCCAAAAAGTTACTTTACAATGTTCTATAAACTAGATCTATTCAAAGATTATAAAACCTCCTGATGAGCTGTTACTTTAAGGTTTTGTTGTTGTTGTTGGGAATATACACAGAAAAACACAAACTAATTCAACAGATTCTATCCATCCCTTACACTGACCCAACCTTCTACGATCCCCAGTTCCATAAAACCTTCCATTGTGCCCTGTGTATCTCATTTCTTACCTATGAATCTCCATGTATCTGGCTCTATTCTGAGTGTTCTTCCACGTTTTTTACTCTAAAATCTGTACTAAGGACACTGCTTCATTTTGACCCTCCCTAAGGGTGGTTGGTTTTTCTCCCACACTTGTCAGTGCCTTTGGGCCTGGAGTTGGTGTGGATATCGTCTTTAGTCCTCATCCTTTGAAGATTTTGCCACCTGGATTGAAGTCACTCTCCAAAATTATTGTTGTCATGGTTAACAATAGCAATAGCTATGTATCTAAATCCAATATGAAAGTCTTCAAGGATGGAGGCCTTCTATTCGCTACCTTGTAACCAAACACAAATGGTTACTGAGCACTTGAAATAAAACTAGTGTCACTGAAAAAATCAAGATCTCACTTTTATATACCTTTAATTTAAGTAGACATGTGTGCTAATGACTATAATTTTGGATATTGCAAGTGTAGATGGTACTTCCAGTAGCCAATCTCTTCATTTTTCTAAGCTTTTATTTGCTCCTCACCCTATGGCAGACCTCTAGAACACATTATTTACCCTTAATTGTACTTCTTCTAAAAATTCCCTATCATTGCCCCATTTACCAACTGCCTTTTTTTTTTCTCTTTGCAGTCTTTTTCTTCTAGTATATTAATTCAATCACTACACAAATTCACCTGAAGACACAACTCCAGCATCCTTCTCCCTCTCTCTTCATTCTACAAATCTGACAAAATACTAACCCTGGATACAAGTTCTCAGTCTGGTTAGATCTAGTACTCAGTGTATTCCCACCAGAATTTAGGTTAGTAAATATGACTAGGGGAAATCATACTCAATGAGTTTCACTTCAGTTCATGGTCACAACTCTCGAAAGAACTTTGAAGGTTCCCTTCTAATCTTACTACGTTTCTCTAGTCCATTCACTCATCTCTTTTTTTTAATTTATTATTAATTTCAATGAAAATTTAGAGATTTTGGATTTCCATTCATTCCATGTTACATTTTTCTCCCCTCCCAATCCTCCCCACTAGTACACTACCCTCTTGAAAAAAGTAAAAGAAAAATTCTTTCATTGTTTTACAAACCCTCTTCCAGGTCCACTCCATTATGCAGCCTTCCCTCTGGACTCCTGTCATGACAATAATACCTAATTACATATCCCTTTTAAACAGCTTTCTCCCTCATCTGTTTCATTGTAGTATACATCATTGAACCCATCTTTCTCAGTCTCCCCCAAGCCCCAGTGTCAGTCCTGTTTTACAACAGTGGCACCATGCAATATTTGTCCTTTTGTGACTGAGATACTTCACTCAGCATAATGTCCTCCAGGGTCACACATTTTGAATAATATTGCATGAGTTCCTTAGTGTTTTTTTCCCCCGGAGATTTCCTTTTATTGAATTTGTTACTGTTACAGAATTCTTGCATTGCCAAAATCATGCCTGAGAATTCAAAGAAAGAAATAGTACAATGGACAGCTTCATCTACCCACCATACAGTATTATAAAACTTGATTCATGTGCATTTTGATAATTTCACAATCTCTAAAAAGTTTTATCAAGAGTCGGGATTTGAAATCTGCTGCAAGTCTTTAATTCTTAGTACACTATACCATTAAATAACACTTCCACACATTCATCTCAGTTCATTCCTTAGTTACATAACTCCCAGGAAGATTTTGCTGGAAGAGGTGCATTCTTTCCAGGGAAAATTTGTGGCTCAATGACCAAGAGATTACTAGTTAAAGGTTTTTGGTTCCCAAACTAAGTATTCCGTTTAACCAAAAATCCCTTGTTTCTCTCAATCAGCCAACCTCCCCTTGGCTCAGCTACTCACCTAAACACCTAAGAAAGCAGGTAACCTGTCTGCTACCTCGAGTAATGGCAACGCTATTGCTCAGAAATAGTTGGCATGTCCTTTCAGTAGATGCTATATATCTCCCTCAGTGTTCAATTCCTGCATTGACACTTTTTATCTAGACTGAACTAGTAAACATCGCTCCCCTATCAGGATAGCTGTGCTCACCCACTTGCTTCACTCTTGCCAGTAGCAAGTCTGCAACTCCTACGTTTGGCAAAGGGATTTATCACAGAGAAACTCAGACTCTCCCCTTCAAAGAGGTACCATACCACTGTGAAATCTTTCTATTGAACCAAAAAGACAAAACCCTGGGTAACTTCTTCTTCTTCAAGTCCTTTTCACGGGCTTTCAAAAAAAAAAAAAAAAAACAAAAAAAAAAAAACCAAAACACCCAAACCCTAATCAAAGTAGTTTAAGGTGTAATAATCAAAACCAGAAGTGCTACATTATCTGTCTTTTGTCCCTGACCCCCTAAATGGACAACAGAAAGACACACTCAAAAGGTTGGTAACAGCACTTAGCTGGGACAAGTGCTGCATCTACAGAATCTTAGACAGATGGGGACAAGTGTGGGATCCGGAATTCTTGTAAAAAAATCCCATGAGATTCATGAAATGTAAATTCTGAGGTGAAGCTTTGCTCAACAGTTAAGTGAAAGATTCAGCCTGCCATTTCTCACACAAATGAGACTCAGCTAAGACTTTAACAGCACCTGGAGTAGGAATCCCTTACTCCCAACCACCATCCTTTTAATCAAAGGCTTTTTGGTTCCAGTCTAAGGCTTGGCAAATTCATGAAACGCTTCAATATCCTAATGCATATTTTAGGTTCCTTAACCAACCAAACAATATACTCTGTCAAAAAAACATATACGGACTCAAAGCAAATCAGAAAAAGGGGGGAGAGAGAGAGGGAGAGAACTTACTTGTAAAACATAGAAAAAGCAGTACCTATATAAAAAGATTACTGGAAGAAACAAAATTACCCCAACCCATTCCCTCCTTAATGGACTCAAGCATGGTAGAAAGTGTGGTTACTTCAACACAGCTTTATGGTTTAAAGTATAAATCACAGCCTTACGCAGATGATCTGAACACGTCAGTCCTTTGGAGAGCAGCATGTTCCTTCCAGAAGTCTAATGCAGCCACAGCCTACGACAGAAAGTCCTCCTCAAAGATGGGACTCAGGGCAGGTTATGTAGGGTCACTTAAATCTTCCTCTTTTACAGCAGATCAGAACCCACATGGCTGACTCTCTGTCAGATTTGCTAGGAATCCATTAGAGCTGGTTTCAAGTTCCACATCGACACTTACTGGACATCATCAACTTCTTGTCCATGTAATCCACATGAAGTCCACAGTGAGTGCAGCAAATCTCAGGAAGTCAACCTTTACGAAGGCTAAGCGTCCGAACAGAGAGATACTCAAATGACCACGGGCTGCAGGTTTTGGTTTGGTCAGGTGTTGTAAAGAACACTGCTTGACGGAGTATCACAATGGGAATTTCCCCCCAGGACAGAGCAGAGTTTAGGGCTGTTGTACATAGGGTCGCTATGAGTCGCAAGCGACTCGAAGGCACATAACAACAACAACAGTTCCAATACTGGAAACAGGAGCTGCATCCACTTCCAAAATGGCTTGCCTCCGGAAACTCTATGTACGAACAGTTCTCAGGCCTTTCATTCATAGGGTCGCTATGAGTCGTCTACGACTCGATGGCATCAAACAACAACAGATCCAATACACAGAGAGAGCAGTAGTGACACTGGAAACTTCCAAAGTGCAATAGGGCCGATTACTTAGTGAGTGGTCTGCCTCTCTGCTGTGGGTCCAGCTGAGATGAGACGATGCCTGGCTACTCATGGTGGTTCGCTGGAATCTAATTGCCTTAGGAAGGTTGTTAGCAAAGACCATCCTTGTACTGTGTGGGGTTGCTTTTCTGATTTTCAAGCACAGCGTCCTGGTTGTCTAGCTCAAGTTTAAGGGCCTGATTTTTGGAAACCTCATCCCTACCTCTATTTTTGTGTCTTACTTCTTCAAAGCTCTTCTCCATTTCTTTATCCCTAAGGGAAAAGAAATGTAATCAGTAAATACTACTTCTTCACTAATTTGTTTTGAAAACATTCTTCTTTAAAAGGAAGGGGGGGGGGACCAAAAGCCAAAGTGCCACCCTTTAAAAGAAGAATTTTGGAGGAGGGAAAAAACGGGGGAGAATTAGTATATAAAATCCTTATAAAATCATTTTTTTAAGGTTTCAATCGAACAAAAATCCAGAATACTGTGTGAAGCTTTAAGGTCTTATTTTCTATGACATCAAGTCTATGAAAACTTTCAAATGAGAACTTATTTCACTAGGAAACAATGGGATGAAAAGTTGTCTCATAACATGATGATTCCTTCTAAGACTGACTTTCACCTTCAGTAAACAACAGACAATTGGCAACAGTTTTTTCGTTCAAGTCAAGTCCTACTCATTACCCAATGACTTCTCCTCACTTCTATTTGGCGGGAGCCAACCAGGTCAGGTCAGGATGAGTGTGGTGAGTTACTGCCCTGACAGATCTGGAGGGTGAGCGAGGAGCAAGTCCAAGCGGAGGTTTAAATTCAAGCCAGCTGTGCTGTCAGAGAGGAGAAAAGACTGGGATTCACTTTCAAAGTCACCCAAACAAACAGTATTCTTCCCATCTGGTGTCATTTACAGGTCTTCCCATTTTATTTATTTTTAAAAATTCGTGTCCCTAAATGACATGTGGATGTGATGTGCCATATGTGGTCCAGGTAGCATTCATTTTAAGTCCCTGTTCCTGCTTTCTACGTGCTTGGCAGTAGACTGCAGGGAGGGGAACTGTGTGTCGCTGCAGATCTCTGGTGGCCCTTGTGGTGTCTTCCTCATTGTGGTTAACCTGGCTGCAGGAGTTCTGTACACGCCACTAGTCATCGCCGATTCTGGGCTTTCTGGAACGATGGCCGGGGCCGGCGCTGCTTGCACTGGAGCCGTCTTTTTCCAGGGATCCGAAGACTTTTCTATGCCTCTGCCACCTCCTCCACTTTCTTCCCAGTTATCCCCTGGATCTTCCCTTTGTTCATTATCATCTTCTTCCTTTTCACTTATCTGCATCACCTGAACTAGGAGGCCGCTGTAATCAACCTCTTTCTGCTCAAACTCTTTCCACTCATCTTCATCCTTGGTCGCAGCCCTGGTGGTGGCCCTGGGGCCCGTGGCAGCTGCGCGCACCGCCCCTCCATCGCCTGAATTCCTTCTTTTTCAATGCAGCGTAGTATTCCATTGTGTGAATATACCACAGCTTCTCCATTCATTTGTTGATGGGCACTTGGGTTGCTTCCAACTCCTTGCTATTGTGAACAAAGCCACACTAAACATGGGTGTGCATATATCTGCTTAGATGTCAGTTATGGCCTCTTGGGGTATATTCCCAGTAGTGGAACTGCTGCGTGAAATGGTATCTCTGCTTGCAATTTTTGAGAAAAGTGGCATACCATTTTCCACAGTGGTTGCACCATTTTATACTTTCACCAACAGTGAATAAGGGTTCCAGTTTCTCCACTACCTCGCCAGCATTTGTTGCTTGCTGTTCTGCTAAATTTTGCTATTCTGTCTAGGGTGAGATGATATCTCATAGTTGTTTTAATGTGCATCTCTCTTAGAGCTAGAGATTTTGAACATATCTTCATGTGCTTGTTAGCCATCTGAATGTCTTCTTTGGTGAAGTGTCTGT